CCCAATTGCCCACCCCTTCCCCCCTCCCCTCCCCAGCCCGAAGCGCCGCACCGTGTGTCGCAGGCACTCTGCCAGGTCAGCGATGGCGGGGGCGCTGTCGGGGTAGTCCACCGCCGCGTCAAACATGTCGCCGGTGCGCAAGGCCCCCAGGGTCTCCAGCAGCAGGTAGGCCAGGCGCAGGCGCCACTCCTGGTGTGTGCGTGTGTGTGTGCGTGTGTGTGCGTGTGTGTGTGTGTGTGTGTGTGTGCTGGGTGTGTGTGTGTTTCCGGGGGCGGCGGATGCGCCGTGTGTTGGGGAAAGGCGGACAAGGCTGGGGACGAACAGGCGGGAGGGAGGCCGTTCTCCCACAAGCCGCAAGATCGGCGGCGCAGGGAGAGGGCGCAGCAAGGCGGGTAGCAGGCGAGGCGCGCGCGCGGGTGCCTGATGGCTGGAGGGTGGCGCAGGCCGTGGGCCGCCGATGCGCCCGCTGCGTCCCCTCTTCTGCGGCGGGACTCCTCCATACCCCCTATCCCCCACTGACCTGCAGCCTAAGCATCGCCTCGTCATCATCAGCCTCCGCCGCACCCCAGCCCCAAGGCCCCGGGTCACACACGCCGCCCGCCTCCGGCGCGCCGCCATACCCGTCCACGCCGCCGCCGCCAGAACCCGCGGGCCCCTTTGCCAGCAGCAGGCGCAGGAACTCGAGCGGCACGTGGCAGGCGGTGCGCTGTGCGGCGGGCAGCACGCGGCGGTCCAGGACCTTTGAGGCCATGGCCTGCAGCCGGCGCTGGACGTGCCTGGGGGGCGAGAGGGAGGGAGGGCAGGGGAGGCGGCGTCGCCATGAGAGAGGTTCGAGAGAGCGGCGCAAGCCCAGTGTCAGGAGGGGCTGCAGAGAGGTTGCGCTGGTTGAAGGAAGGTTGATTGAGGCAACGACGGCGGCGCCGGCCCATACCAAGGGGGCGGGGCGGGACGCGCGCGCCCCTCCCACCAGAGGAGAGATCGGCCCCTCAAACACGTCAGGCGCCCGCCCCTGCCTGCCCCTGCCCGGCCCTGCCTGTTGACGACGGCGGTGTACGCCTCCTCGCTGGCCGCCTCGAGCCCGAGCGCCACCAGGCAGCTTGACACGCGCTGCAGCCGCCAGCCCCACGTGGGGCCCAGCGCGGCCAGCGCGGCGGCCGCACCAGCGCTGTGCACGTGTGGGGAAGAGGCGCGAGAGGGAGGGTGACCTCGCTGCCCCAGGCCCCGCCGCGAAGTCGCGTGCGCTTGGGTGCCGCTCCGATGGCCGACTCTGCTTTTGGCATGCGAGGCAACAGCCAGCCGCACCGCAGGCGCTCAAACGCGCACCTGGACAGGCCAGGGAACTCCCCGCCGCCACCGCCACCAATGGCGTCGCCGCCGCAGCCCAACGCCTCGAGCCCTCCGCTGGCGCCGCCCGCGTCATCCGAGCCCGCGCCGCCCTCCCCGCTGCTCATAGATGCGTCATCGTCCTCGTCCAGGCACCCCGCCAACAGGCGCCCGCGCGCGCCGCGCCGCTGCTGGTCGTCGCAAGCGTCCAGGTCGCCGCACAGGGGCGCGCCCCCGCTCCGCGCCTCCATCGCGGAGCACAGCTCCGCCAGCTTTGATGAGTAGTAGCGCCGCAGCAGGGCTGCGATGTTGAGGATTGGCGGCCCCGGCGGCCCCGACACCAGGGGGACATCAGTGGGACGTGCGAGGGCGGCGTCCCCTCTTGAGCGCCATGCGGCACGCACTTGCGCCCGGCAGGCGCGTCTCAATTGCGAGAGGCCGGAGCACGTTTCGCGTCCATCGACCCGCCTGGAGCAGCTGCTTTCGAGGGGCCTCTGGCGGAGGCAGTTGAGAGGGCAGGCCATACCGCTATCCCTTCTGGCCACCCGTTTTCATCCCCATGGTCGACCTTCGCCCACCTGTCATGCTCAGGGGCGCCGTTGACTGCAGAGTGGCCGCCACCAGGGTGCGGTGCCGCGGCAGCAGTCCCACCAGCAGCGACGCCAGGCCCCCCCTGCCGCCTGGGCCCAGAGCGCCGCCGACGGACGCGCCGGCGGCGCCCGCGGCGCCAAGTAGCTGCTGCGATAGGCACGCCAGCTGCTGCTGCTGGCCTGTGACAGCCGCCGCGAGGCCCTGCAGGCGGAAGGTACGGGCGGCCTCGCGCCCAGCAACCCAAGACTTTGCCACGCAAGCTGCGCCCGCACGCCGACAACCATGACTGCGAGCCTCTCTGCATCACAGTGTGTCTGACGACCCCCCTTCCTGAGCACCACCGGACGCCTGTGCCCCGCACCTGCAGCGCGCCAAGGAGCTGCTCCTCCAGCCCCTCCCGCGGTTGCGGCTGCTGCAGTCGCCGCCAGAAAGACTCCACGTGCAGCCGCCGCAGCGCGTCCTGCAAATTGAAAAGCGCAAGCCATGCGGGCCAGCCTTTGTCTCAGGTGTTGGTTGTTGCAGCCACGACAGGAGCACGGAAAGCAGCGGCAGCAGCAGCAGCAGCAGCAGCAGCAGCAGCAGCAGCAGCAGCAGCAGCAGCAGCAGCAAGCAGCAGCGCACCTCGATGTGTTGGTAAACAAAGGACACCAGCACCTCGGTCAGCCCACACGCCCATAGGGCGCCCGCCTCCTCCATCGTCGGCATTGGGAACAACTGCGACACAGCAGGTCGTGGCGAGTCACAAGGCCGTGTGTGCCGTTGTTGCACGTCGCTTCCTCAAGCTTTGGGCGACTCAGGTTCATCGCAACCAGCGGCTTGTCTGTTGTGTTGGTGCAGCGGGCATGGCGCAGCACCGTACGCACTCGCCTGTTCAGAAGCGGACGCGGCGCGCCAAGCATACGCATTCCAAGCGTCCGCCCCGGCTGACGCAAAGTCCGCCGCCATGCTCTGGACTGCGTGCTAGTCGTCGATATAATGTTATTGCTTCGACACCAGCGTGCTATGCTGTGTAAGTATGCCTGACTTAGTCAGATCTAGTGATCACACCACGACGGGCGAAGTGGAAGCCTGTTAGGACTGTTATGTCGCATCGATCACAGTCATGAGCAAACATCGCTGGAGCTTGACCCCTTCAAACTTGAATTTCGCGGGTTCTGAGTTTGCGCGGCTGCCACGCAGCGAGGGACCATTTGGTACATGTCCTTTGCGGTTCAACGCCACTCCCATTGACTCAACCTTCATTTATAAACTCTCTCTCGACGTCTGAAGGGCCAGGTGCTTCGTCGTGATCACTCCAGCACGGCAGGCCATGTTCGCGAGGTAGAGGGCCTGCCCGGACCCCGATCACCTCCAACGGGATGCCTCCTCCCGTCACCGACCTTTTCGGAGGCTCGCAGCGCGTCATCAGCGACGTGGCGGCCTGCAGCCTGCCCCTTTGCCTTGGCCCCGCCTCCGCCACCGCGGACGACTCTCGCTACCTGAAGCGACTGAAAGCAACCGTCCTTTCGTCTTTTCCGGTGGGTTCTCAGCAGCGTTCTCCGCTAGGAAGGGCAAAAAAGGGCGCGCAGCCCCCAGGTTGAAAAACGACTTTGATGGCGCGGTCCCAGTGACACCACTCCTTTTGCCACACCGCAGGCCTTTGTGTCGGTGCAACACGGACAGCAGCTGCAGCAGCCGTCGTGCGCTCAGCAGGCGGCGTGCTCGGACCGCCAGCAATATGCGCCTGCGCGTCGCACACCTGCCCGCGACCAGACGAAGCCGCCAAAGATCCGGCGCGTGGCCTGCATAGAGGAGGAGCGGCCGGGGCGAGGATACGACCCTGAATTCCTCGCGCACTGCTACGCGGATGAGGTGGGTGATCTGGTGAAGGCGGCAGCCGTGCTGGCGGCCGCTGATGCTTGCGTGTGCGCCAGTGTTCAGTCCGCGTGCGCGTTTGCGCGTGCGACTCCCCACTTCGGACCGTGCCTTTCCTATCCTCTCCATTGCAAACCCGTCGGTCTTTGGACACGATGCGCCACCCTCCTCGCACGAACACCCCCCCTGCAACCCCCGTGTGTTCCCCCCCCCCAGGCCAAGGGCGCGCCGGACTGCGGCTACCTGGGCTCTGTGCAGCGCGAGGTCGACGCGCACAAGCGCCTGGTGCTGGTGGACTGGCTGGTGGAGGTGGTGGACGAGTTCAAGCTGGCGCAGGGCACGCTGTTCCTGGCGGTCAACCTGGTGGACCGGTACCTCTCGCGACGGCCGGTGCCGCGCGCAGCGCTGCAGCTGCTGGGCGTGACCGCGCTGTGGCTGGCGTCCAAGTTCGAGGTGCGCGGGCCCTGCTTGGGGAGGCTCGTGCACAGGCGGCGCAAAGGGCGCGTGGGTCACTGGCGCGGGCCCGTCAGCGATGTGTCGTTCGGTGCGTGAGGTGCGCAGTCCGCTCGACAGCGAGCGATCTGCACCTGTGAGCTCCGTGTTTCACGGCCCACCGCACAGGCCCGCCCCACACTCGCGCGCTCTCGTGCCCAAATCACCCCTTCACCCGCAAACCCCTCCCTCCCCCTGCCAGGAGGTGTACCCGCCCACGCTGTCTGACTTTGTGGACGTCACCCAGCACTCGTGCACCGCCGCCCAGCTGGTGGAGATGGAGGCTCACCTGCTGTGCGAGCTCGGCTTCACACTCATGGTGCCCACAGCCGTCACATTCCTCGCGCTCTTCCTGCCGGCCGCAGCAGCCAACGCCGCGGACGCGGACGCGTACCTGTCCGCAGCCATCGACGGCGACGGCTGCGACAGTGACGGCTCGGCAGGCACGGGCGC